CAGATGCTTTATTGAGAGACCACGGTAAGAAAGAATTGCCATCTCACARYAAGTCATAAAAAWTACTTTCAAAGCCATTCATAGGAGAGCTTTTAACACTTTGTCAATTTAGAGTTATAAGATTTGTTATCTTCACATMCAGAGTGGTCCAGAGAGAAACTAGTTGTATCTTGGATTGCTGACCCTAAGCTTGCATGTGAAAAAGCAGGAGTGAGATATCRTGAAGGTACAGTTAGAAGAATAGTAGTTATTTTTTAGAAATGATTTTTAAAATGCGGTGGCACTTTCAAAAATATTCCAGGCGTGTGCATGAAATCAAGGAATTTGTGGCTAAAAATTAAGAAAGATTTAAAATACTCTTTGTAAAATCCACAAAACCTGCAATGTTTTTTAAAGTGCACACACATCTCAAAAATTCTTAATTAACGTCAATTTTAGTGTTGGGTTTCCTGTGGCAAAGATGCAGGAAGTCCAATCATAAATGAAACAGGCTGGAAGAATCATATTGGGGGTTGGGAAAATGAGGAAGTCACATTAATAAAAATAAATTTACACTTTTTTTACGTACTGTTGTTTTTGTACATACTAAGGCTTGTATTAAATCCAGTCTTTTAAAAGTCAGTAATCAACAATGTAATGTAATAATGTAATAACAATGTAATGTAATGTAATGTAATAACCTACTCTATTATTTGTCCCACTTGACAGAAGGTGACACTGAAAATACAAATAAAGACCCTGGCACTGAATCAACTGATAGATCTGTAAGTCATGTTTCACGTCATATGCYTTGTATACATAGACATTGATGTTTTGTAAAACCTGGATTATTGTAAAGTAAATAGTTTTATATAGGAATATTTACTATATATAATAGTAATATATCTGAATCAAAGCAAAGACCTTGAAATTCTAGTTCATTTTCATCAGCAGGCTAAATTGTAAAGGACGTTGTTTTGTAAAATTATTTGTTTTTTTCCCTGCTTCTATACATGTATGCAGTATGGTGTAATTTTTGATTAATATTTTTTTTTGTAATCCACAGCAACAAACATGCATCATTTGTACCGAATCTATTGAATCTGATAATAATCAAATTGTCTCTTTATCCTGTGGTCATGAAGTATGCTCAACCTGCTGGGAAAGGTTGGTGAAACTAGTTTTCTTTTCCCACTTCCATTTCCCAGTTCATTTTCCCAGTTTGATTCCTTGTAGMTTTCTTACAATGTAACAAAGCCTTATTTTGTTTCATTTAGCTACTTGAATATAAAAATKAAAGAAGGAGATGTCCACAACATCCAGTGTCCTGCATATAGCTGCAAAACACTAGTTCCACTGGTAAGCAATCGTTTGGGCACTTTTCTCATCATTAAATTAAAATTAAGTTAAGATGAGAATGTAAAGCAAAGGCTTCATAATTAGTGTGTAGCTAAATAGAGATATGAAATAAATAATGTTTTAATTGAGCACCAAGTGGTCATAATTGTCTCTCATTCTAGCTTCTTTATTGATCGTAACGTTTTCATATCTCCATGGGAAAGGAAAAGATAAAGACAATAAAAAGGGTGTATTCTGTTTAATTGCTTTTCCAGGAAACTATAGAGGGAATAGTGTCAAAAGACATGGCAAGACGRTATTTACAGAATGATATTAAGGTAACTTTACATTCAACAAGCTTTGAAAGAGGTTATTTTGCGTCTTACGAATTCCTGCACTATGCATACAGTTCTCCCACCAGTGATTCCATTCTTAAAGGTTTATGTAACTCGGGACTGTGGGACAAATACAAATTATGGATGAGAGAAGAGTCGAAAATCAACAGAAAAACTAATTCTAACATAAGCAGAAATAGTAGTTACTGTGACAACAATGACAACGTACAACAACAGCAGCTGTACTTAGCCAAAGCAGAAAATTAACAGTGACAACAATACATGCTGCGGCAACAGCATCAGCTACAGCTCAATTGCCGTATGGTCATTTTTTTTTCGTTAAGAATAGGCAGTCAGTATATAGAAGAAGCGTCAGTTAATAAATATTTTTTGTCTTCACAAATGTAAGGGACATTTTTCGAATTACTTACTGTATATATTACCATTGTTTCCGTCAGGCATTTGTAGAATCCAATCCCAATATAAAATGGTGTCCAGCTAAAGGTTGTGGTCGAGCTGTGCGTCTTCCTCTCATCGCATCATCTTCTAARGCTGTAAYCTCTTTGACACAAAGACGTTTGGCAGACACTCCTTGTCAGGTGGTTGACTGTGGAAGCGGACACTACTTTTGCTGGTAAAAAGACCTGATAAATATCTGATAAATCAGTCATTTGATTTATATTCAAATCAGTTCTATTCAATCATGGAATTCGTTAGTTAGTCAATCAAGTTTGAGTCTCAAGTTTTTAGTGTATAAATCATGTTATTCTTTGTCCGTTGCTTAGGCACTGCATGCAAGAACCTCATAAACCGTGTACGTGTGAACTATGGGAGAGATGGTCGGTGAAAATTGCAGAAATGTTGCCACAAATTCCTGCTTTAAATGATAAGGAAGGTGAGAGATATAGGAAGGGGGGGGGGGGGGGGGGGGGGGGGGGGGGGGGGGGGGGGGGGGGGGGGAGGGATTTGTCTCTAGGGTCAGTCGTTGTACAACTGTATGTCGTAATTACGATATAAAGTTATAAAGAGGAGATCCGAAGGAGAGATTTTRCTTCCATCCTATAAGGATCATTTTTGAATGAAAGCACGTTTCAGTGCAATAAAAAGTGAAATGTTGTCAAGGAAAACAAAAACGATTTGTCGTATTTTCTTTGACATTCTTATAATTGCTTACATTACATTCTGAGTACTCTACTAACTGTTTCTAGATTTAGACGAATGTCCAGAAACAGAAAAAGTTGCAAATACACTTTGGCTMGTGACCAACTCTAAACATTGTCCAAATTGCAAGTYAGTAATGAAGTCATGTTTTTATGCTGTGGACATTTTTACGCTATATTTTTACAGAAAAAAGCTGCCTCGTCAGGCTCGTGTCGTTTGTACTACAATGTTTACACTTCGTTCACAATTTAAAAGCATCTTTAGAGGTTGCTGGAAGGCTATCACACCTGGCTTGGAGTGATTTGTTGATGTTTTAATTTATTATTTTTCAGATCTCCTATTCAAAAAACCGAAGGGTGTAACCATATGAAGTGTACAAAGGTAAAAATTTCTCTGGAGTGAAAACTAAACAGTGATAATTTCTTTCGTATTTTTTTTTCGCTGACTAACACGTTTACATCCAACTAACACGTTTACATCCAACTAACACGTTTACATCCAATATTTAGCTCCATTTATTTTACAATAGTTTTTCCGATCACTATACCTATCGTCTTGTTATCTTGGGGATTTCCCAAGTTAGTCTCCTCTTGCAGCCGTTAGGTGACCTGGGAAGGAACGTCCTAACGGCTGCGAGAGGAGACTATTCCTAAGTTGGCGAGACTCCACTTGGAATTTGGAAACGGGGCGGGAAATGATAGTAACAGATCTGGAATCTTTTAGGTTTCTAAAAGGTTTTTTAGTCACTGTCTAGGCTTAAGGGTAAAAATAAGTCTAGGCTAAAGGGTAAAAATATTGCCACTCCCACTTTCGTGCGACTATATTTTGAAAAAAAAACAACAACAACTAATTATTGTTCATTTTCCTTTTCAGTGTAAATATGAATTTTGTTGGGTTTGTTTAGAACTCTGGAAGAAACATAGTTCGGCTACWGGAGGGTATTTTAGGTACGTTTAGTGTCACTTCATCACATTCAACTTTGATAGCCTTGTAATTGCAAGAAGTGATAATTATGTGAAATAAGCTTAAAAGTCCTATTTGAGCACACATGTAGCCGCAGTCCTTTGAGAGAGGGGACTCTTTGGGAAGAATAGCAGTGGTTGACGGGTAAAAACTCCCATCCAGGAACCATATTTAAAACTCCACGATGTCCACCGTTTAGCGCTTTTGCTGTTATTTAAAGGGCTACTTGGACGAAAATTTCGAATCTTAAGAAAAGACTTGGAAATCAAATAGACCTATTCATATGGGTCTAATAATCATGAAGCAGCAGATTTCAAGAAGATATTGATACAAATCCTTGATAATTTGGGCAAAAAAAGTTGGAGTAGATGACGTCATTTGCTCAATCCTTTTGTTCTTCCATCTTTTGAATCAAAATTTATCTGATGTGGGATAATTCCAAAACAAATATTTTCCCGCAATTGTTTTTAATTGACATCAATGAGTCATATATTTGTATTGCTTGAAGTTTTGAAATAAGGCCATTTTCATGCAAGTAGCACTTTAACACGAGGTCAAGTGACTACAAGTTGATAGTTAATAGCCCATAGTTTAGTGGATACTAAAATATGTTAGTGACTCGGGAGAATTATATAAAATAGAATTTATCCACTGATATGATCATGRGTTGTATGCAGGTGTAATAGATATGAGATAATACGCAAGCTTAATATAGACTGTGTGGATAAAATACGGCAGGTGAGCCCGCATTCTTTGTGTATGAATCGATCAATCACTCAGTGTAGCCTCCTCCCCAGGCAACTCTTTTTTCCTCCTTTGGGCTTCCTTTGTAACGGTCATCTTGGCCGCTAGGGACTAGTGACGAGATAGGAAAAATAAGAAGAGGAGGAGCAAGGGGGAGCACGCCTCCCCTCTCTCGCTCCCATTCTCCGTCTTTTGACTCCTCAAAAGACAGGAAGCCCGTGATTCTTAGTGATGCCTGCGGAGGAGGCTACAATCAGTGTTGCTTTGATGATATTAAGATGTTATCCTCGTCCATTTAATGGTGAAATAAAGAATGATCTTTAACCAATCAGATTGCGCACAACATTACACATTATRACACATATATTATTGCTTGCTATGCGGTCATAAGAAAGGAAGCTCCACGAAACGTCGGCATCAACAACGACAAAAATCCCCTCATGGGGTTTTGACAACGAAACTGAATTTACTGTATCTTARTTGATCTTGCAGGCGACCGAAGAAAATATGCAAATTCAAAAACTAAACTACTTCTTGCATTATTACTCGCGCTTTAAAAATCACGAAAACAGCTTCAAGGTTAGTGTAATCACGAACTGGAATAAAAAGTTTTRATCACTTCAAAAACTACGTTTTTTAACGTCAGAACTTTATGACTCATTATTTTGTTATAAGGGTCTTTGTCAATCTGTCTATGTGTTTTGTTTCAGCTTGAGGAGCCTCTTCTTGGTGCTGCGAAGGAAAAGATGACAGCGCTTGCAGTTTCGGCCGTGGAAAACGGTACTTGATACAAATAGTTTGACGTAGAGTGACTTCAGTCAGTCATGTCCGTCATGCTGRTGCTGTGATTTAGTAATTTCAAATTTAAATCTACTTACAAGAAAACAAAAGAGATAAATATAATACGTGTGAACAATCTTCGTTTTCTCCAAAATATTCTAGTGTGACTTCATAGTGAATAAATGCTTGATAAAGCCCACAACTTTTTGGAATTTCCATTCTCCATTTCCTGAATGAGATTTTTCCATTTTTTCAATTGACACCTGTAACAAAACTGATATTCAAAACCTAACGGTTTGTCCAAATATGACAAAGTTTATTTCTGTCTTTCGATCCGTCACTTGACGGAGAGGGACTATCAGTTGTGCTCTAATAAGTAAGTCTGTCGTGATAACTGTTTTTTTTTGTATCGGTGTATGTTCCATTAGACGCTTCGCTTGATGGTGTAGATACGAAATTCGTCGAAGAAGCCGTGCGTGAACTTTTGGAAGCCCGACGAGTTTTAAAATCTTCATATGTTTACGGATTCTTCTTGGATGGAAACAAGGAAAAAAAGACAATATTTGAACTAATGCAGGTAAAAGATTAATCAATTCAATAGACTTACTCGACGTAGAGTCTACTTTCGCAGGCGTTCTTTGACTCGTCCCCATCAACGGCCGTTAGCGGTGGGAGATATAGCAACTATCAATTAACGGCTGCAAAAGGAGACTTGACCCATTTCTTTGTTTCTTCCAATGTTTGGACAAATACATAAATATGGATGGTTTGATACAAAGAATTCTACTCCCAAGGGGTCTGAACTGGAATGGGTATATTGCTCCAAGCTAGACGAGGAGCTCTTTCTGTTTMTTCTTTTTCATTTGACAACCTCTTTTCGATAAACTCAATAAATACGGACTATCGATTTTGGTTCATTTAAGACTGAAGTTGAAGAAGCTACTGAGAGCTTGTCTCAAATGGTTGCCCGCCCTTATCTTCACACTCCAAGATCTAAGATTATTCAAGCAACGATATTTCTACGGAATAAAAAACAAACATTTTTGCTGGCTTTATCACGTGGTCTTATACCTGATGAAGAGCTTCCGAAACCCTTTATGTCAAAGTAAGTGTTAATCAGAAGTTTAAATGAACATAACAGGCTTCATTTAGGTTTCATTGCTCGCGTGCAGTGCTTTTTAGGTGTACATMCATCAGTGCTTTCGGAGAACAATGCGTCCGCCATCTTGAAAAGTGAGATCCGAATCACTATGTTGTGTCTTATAACACATTTCGTAGTTGCTAAGTCAAGTAATCTATCATTATATTGTATTATATTAAGTTGACATTAGCTGAGAAGATTTAATTACTTTAGAAGTTATAATTTAGGATTCGAGTTTCACTTTTCAAGATGGCGGACGCATTGTTCTCCGAAAGTACTGATGCTTGTATTGGCAAAAAGTGTTTTCTGTTTCTTTTTCAAAGTTMCATAAATAGCGGCCGTACTCAAAATTCTCAAAAAGACCTTTATGTGTGTTTTTTTTCTTCGTATTATCCACATTTTGTTTTTGCAATAATTCAAATTTATTTTAATTATTGCTACTGATAATGATGACGATTATGACGATGATGATGATGGTTATTGTTATTGTTGATAGATTAGAACTTCTTACCAATCSGCAAGTGTCGTCTGACGATGAGGTAAGAAAAAATCATGACAGCTTATATTAACGATGCATAGATGAACTGGTTATACTTCTGACTCTTTTTTCTGTCATGCAGTTATCTCAAAAAGAACATTTCGGGAATTTTTTCAGACCACCTCTAAAATTCATTTTTTACCCATTGTTATAACAAACCACGTTTTATAAATGTGCAGTAGTTTTAATAGAAAGACTTTGAATCAAAAGAGCTGTCATTTGACACCATATCCTCTCTTGTTTAAAGTCTGATGAAGGCGAAGATAACTATAGTGAAATACGTCGAGTCATCGAGAGCTCAATACGACAGCAGCTGACCGGTATCGACACGGGCTCGCCTGAGAATCGTCCCAACTCTAGGATGAGTAATTACCTTGAAATGATGTGTTCTAGAAGTGGATGTCCTAATCCTCGTATCAACAGTGATTATGTTGGTCCTGGTCAYCTCTCCTATTARTGTTGTTATGARTGCTTACGTATCGATATGAGAAATAAAAGACGAAGGCGAAAGAAACGAGGTATGTTAAACATCTTAGTGATTGTATCATCGGGTACTGCTCTTTCGCGTAGCCATTTTCAAAAGGCGTCAAACGTTGCCTTGTTGAAGTTCTAAGTGACTCAGTCTTGATATTTATGCAAATCATGTTACAAAAATTGTGACATTTTCTTTTTGCGATCTTTATGGGYTGTTGATAGAAGGTCAGCGGTAAAAAATGAGTCTATTAATCGCTTCATTCTATTTCTATCCAAAGAACTCAAAGAGGAAAAAATGAAGCAAGCTGAAAAAATGGCATTAACCCAAAAAGAATTGGAAAACCATGAAGAAATGGACTTGGATCTTATGCGTGCAATACAACTGTCCCTTGACTGTAGTTTAACTCGCCGTCGAGACCAACCGCCGTCGAACCCCTCGTCATCTTCCAGCAGTTCTGGATCTATTGATGATGAGCATGCCACAGGAAGCTCACACGACGTGGTTGGTGATGAAACGTCCTTACAGAAGGCTTTGGAATTATCTTATGGGTATTTTGCGAAAGGTATTGAGAATTAATATTAGCCTGCTTAGCGGGTCTAAGGCGATTGGAAAGGGACGAGAGACTTTCCATTTATAGACTTTTCGTATTTTTTTATTTTTTTCAATTCTCACTATGTTGATTGTATTTGAAGTCGTTTTTAATTAACAGAAGTTCTTGTGATTTTCTGTATTCACAGCGAAACCGCCGACTCAAGACGACGAACTAACAAGAGCCATRCAGATGAGCCTGGAAGCGAACTCACTGACGTCATCACATGCTGAAAATCATGATGAATACAGCTCAGTGTAACCCGGCCTCGACCTTGTTTGATAGGAGTCTGATGCGAGCTGTCTCYACAGATAATGAGAGCAACGACCTTAGTTTGACATCACATTTCTAAGACGCGAGTAAAACAATAATCATTAAACAAAATCTTAGTACGCGAATATATTTTAATAGTTTTATGGATTGGATGCGTTTTAAAAATCTTTTTATAAATAAAATTTTATGTTTTACGTACACTAATTATAATGTTTTGGTATGTTTGGTATTATGATTTTGTGTAAGTATTCCGTCATTTTTCTGATTTTGAAATTTTGGTGGAAATCCGGAATGGATTTCCCAATATCAGGCTTGTTGCAGAATGTCATTTACTTGTTTTCTCATTTACCATTTATATAGCACGATTTCCATAAAAACCCTTGCACTTTGTCGTGTTCACATCAGAGCAATGCATGCTATTGTATTTTAATGTAGAAAGTATAAAATACATCGACTGATGCCTAACTTATAGGCTATGTTAAATATAATGCCACGGTAGTATTATATTGTTATTAGYATTATTAAAGTATATTAAAGTATTAAAACTCCTCTCCTACTTGTGATTGTAGGATTGTTCGAGTGTAGTCTTCAGTTGTAGAGGACTAATTGATAAGGTCGAATAGACGAAACTAGTTTTCCTCAAACATTGTGTTTTCTGTGTGTCAAAGGAGGGGTAAAAGTTGAAATTATTTTGACGTCCTACAATATGAAGTCTTCAGTTACATGACGTTTTGACAAAAGCGAAATTGATGTACTTGGTATGAATGTGACCTAATTGGGATACACCCACTTGAAAAGACGTTATTGGGTCACAAATAGTCCAAATCATCAATGATAAGACCGAAGGGAATTTTGGGTACTTGGAAACTAGAATGATATTTTCATGTATTTTACTGAACATGTTATAGAGCGGATTTCGTATGAGTGGGAAACGGACGGTACTGTACTGTGACCGTAATCGTACTGTAACCAAATTCTAGTTCCCCATTGGTTCACCAAAATTATGTAGGCCAGGTGTGGTAACTGTGCGGTAACCGTGCGGTAACGGTGTCCCACTCATACGAAATCCGCTCTATCATAGCATTACTTAAAGAAAGGGAGTAAATYTCAACTMCAGACAGTGTTTGGACGATGAAAAGTTGTTGACATATAATTAATTACTTTTCTATGCTCTCTGTTTGATGAGCTTCTCTTCTTGAATCCTACAATACGTTTTCTCAATTAGATATATCCAAACTGGTGCAATGGTAATATTGATTATGCCTACATTACCAGAATTAGTTTCTATAATGATAAGATAATATTCAGACAATGAATAGTTATTTTTCCAATGAGTTTATTTAACTTGATTTCCGAGACTGATTACATGTATGTGCTGTGAGTTCATTTGCCATAATATGATCTTTCTTGATAGTCGTCCATCTGAAACATACAAGAGAACCGAAACAAAAAAATTCCGCTTGATTAAAAAGACTTAATTTTTATCGAGCCACAACCAGGCTATACTTGTATAGGTAATAGCATGTTTTGTAGTGGTATTTGGGATAAATACCATGCGTAATATTTATCCCAAATTCCACGTACAAAACATGCTATTATTTGTTTATAAAATGGTTGAATAAAATTGTGCAATTTGAAATACCACTATTAAGGATAAATATCACTCCTCTAAGCCAATCAAATTTCACAATTTTATTCAACKATATTATAACTATTTTGAATACCATGACCAAATCGGTATCCATTGTTTTTTGCGCGAGCATAGGTAAACAATTCCTGCGCAAGCACCAACTATCTGAACAAATCCATCCTCGGGATCCCAGGGGCAATCTTCTGTCGTTCGTTCCTCACTCCCAGAAAAACTACCCCTGGACACGAAGTCTGTTAGACCTTGTTCTCGATTCGAAATTCAAAATGGCGGCCGGTAAATTTCTGATTGGTCGAGTGATTCACTCGAACAWTCTGATTGGTTGATTAACTTACTGGCCGCCATTTTGAATTTCGAATCAAGAACAAGGTCTAACAGACTTCGTGCCCAGGGGTATTTTTTCTGGGAGTGAGGAACGAACGACAGAAGATTACCCCTGGGTTCCCGAGGATGCAACAAATCAAGAGTGGCGTGTAAAAAACATGGTATCTTAGTAATGAATGATTCTGTTGGTTTAGCTACATTAAACATTCATTTGACTATCAAATTACACAAAACAAAAGAAATGAAACTCACTTAACAATATCCACAAAATCTTCTGCAGTTGGCCTTTGCAAACTTTCCCATTCGCGATTTTGTTTTCATACAATGAAGTTGTGTAATAATCTGTAAATAAACGACACATACATAATTTGGTCAAAATTTTGGTCATGTGGCTTTTCATATTAACCAAAAACATTTCCAAGGGGATACCAGGGGATCCAAGGGGGTACCAGGAGATCCAAGGGGGTACCAGGAGAGAGAGAGAAGGGGAGAGAGAAGGGGGGGGGAGGAGGGGTTGACGTCGTTGCCCCACCTTTTAGGAAAGGCCTGCTTACATATTCATATAACCTTCATAATTCAGACAGACCAACACAAAATTCATAATTCAAAATTTATGTGCCTTTGGATTTCTGGAACCGCCTCCCTCAAAATTACGATAGTTTTCATTATACAGTTTTCGGGCGATTTTCAAAATTATAGTAGATTTTGTCTTAGAGATTTAGTTGTTAGCTCATCTTAGTGTACTGAATAAGTTTTTCACATCATTCTTTTCAAATAACGCAAAAGTCGCAGCAAAAATTGCAAGTTTGAAACGGCTTTACACTTTTGCCTACAACTATCGCATGCAACATACGCCTTAAGTCGTCCTTACAACATGGCTACAACTGTCGTAGGGATTTAAAACAATTGTTTGATAACCCCACGACAGTTGTAGCCATGTTGTAAGGATGACTTACGCGTGTTACATGCGATAGTTGTAGGCAAACGTTGCACCGTCTAAATCGGCCTTAACGATACTTATAACGCATTGCATTGTGGTCTAGATTTGGTAGAAACAAATTTTGTTTATGAGACCGCAATGAACCATGGGTCTATACTCACCTTTCCACAAATGTTTTGTTTGTACTGGTCAGAGCAATCTTTGAAGGCAAAAGAAAATCAGTTGTCGACAGTAGAAATGATATTTGGTCAACGTAAGGACGAGGAAATGCACAAAACAAAGGAGTAAAAACAAATAAAATGTATGAAAAACCCAGCAAAATTTAAACTTTATCTATCAATGAATTGTAATAAAGTTTACCTGGATTGGCGTCATAGTCCCTTTTTAGTTCTGAAACAAGAGATAAAAATGCGACATATTAGCACAGAAAATTCGATGACGCTTTCTACGAAACTGCGGGGAAACCCATGCTATCATGACGACAACTGCAAGACGATAATGGACGACCAAAATAATATAAACTCTGAAGAAAGTCAAAAGGGGAAAAYCGAATGAAGTAATTGAGGTACAGAAATTGAAAAAAAACCCAATGCTACATGAATGGGCGAGGTATAGGTGAAAAACTGATGTTGTTAAAAATTAATACTTACCATATTCGGCCAATATTTCATCCAGGAGTGGATCAGCACTGACTTGGCATAAGAGACAAATAGCTGCCATCAAAACAACCAATATACGCAGAGAGTCCATTGTGGAATGTATACTAGAACGGTTTACTGAACGGATACTAGACGTTGATACTTTGATAACACTTGGGGAGTGCTCTTATTTATATGCCTGGCGCTAATGAAACATATGTGCACAGCTTGTGCGGTGACTTTCCATAACTTCTGGGTCTCATGCATCATTTAGCAGTTAATGCTTGTTAAAAGCAAAGTGGTTTCATTTCATCAATTTGAAAAAAATCCAATAATACCCAATGACCAAGATCTGGAATTTTTCAATAAGGGTGACATTATTTATTGATGTGTTCGCTTTGACTTCAGAGAGCCATATGCCCATTGTTAAAACATTTGTCACAGCTAGATAAATCATAATTATTTTTAAATAACAAAAAAGTCTCTTTGGTCAATATAAATGAAATTGATAATTGTGGGCGCTTTATATTTGTTCGACTGAGAATTCCCAAAAATTCCCCAGAAAGTGTGAAATGGCTAAATCGATCTCGTAGTATGATCTCCATCGGAATGTTCTAGTTTTCCCGCTTTTTTGGTTGCTCCGGTTGACGCGCGCGCCGTTTGCATTTCCCGCTCTTTCTTTCATGATTACACATGAAGACAAAAATGAGGATTTTTTTTAAGTTTATTAAAATACGATAATTATTAAGCATTTGCTCAGTCTTCACCTATAAATGTATGTTCAAATTCTCAGTGGATCACAACCGGATTTAAATATAAACAGATTTGTTTAGTAATAGAATATATTTCCACATATTTGATATGAACGTAATTTAGGAAGGTTTTAACGAACTTGATTATTAGGGATTTAAAATGGTCAACACTKCAAAAGTTCTTAAGAAAGTCAAACCTAGCCGTTGGCCATGATTAAAACCAGATATTAKATTTTTAATGACAAGCCTTCTAGTGATTACAAATACTTTAAACCAAAATAACACCCACGCTATGAACAATCTTCTGCTCCAACCTTTTCAATCATAGAATTTCCATTGTTATTTTAATTTTAAAAGTGGGTTTCAAGCCACTGAAAGAGTTGAAATAACAGCCGAAGGCAAACCACAAAATAATAACCAAACCAGGGTCTGAATATGGTTAACGGRGGACTTAAGTTAATGAAAAAGAAAAATAATACTAAAATAAATAAATAAATAGATAAAAAATGCAATAAAAAAAAACTCATTTCCTACAAACTCTAAAAAGATATACGGATTTCCGAAGAAAAAATATATTAACTGATTGGCATTACACTTTTCCAGAGTTTTGCAAGCATTGATTTGGAAAATATAGTCATTGAAAACTGCTGCTGTTTTTGGATCGTAAAACGACTCAACTGAGCTGTTTTCATCGTATTTTATAAGCTTAACACGACTCAGATTTTAACAGTGACTATTGACATTTCGACACTTCACATCCAGATCCAGTTTTTCTTATTGTAGTTTTTACTTCTTTCGAGAAAAACTCAAAAGTAAARTGATATTGATTCACTGAAACTTTTTAATCATGCAGTTTCGATATAGTTAGATTGGTGAATTACTTTAACAAATAGAAAGTAGTTTTTAGAGCTGCCACGAGGGTCGGACGAGAGATGACACTTCCTGACTTCCCTTCTCTCTTAATAGCAGCAGAACTCACATTTTGCAATGGCGGGAACACTGTTATAAACTCTTTGGAAATCAATTTCAACGTTTGTTTATTATGTATTATGTTCTAGGCCTGAAACTAAAAATTGTTTTATATAGATTCCAGAATGTTTTCCTCACTGAACAGTTGCCTTCGCCTATCTTGAAAGTCTGCCTTAAGCTTGTATTGAAAGGATATATGGGAAAAATCGTTTCGATCGTAATAAATAGCGTTTCGCGCGTATTTTTAAACTCCAACTACGTCGCAAATTTCGATTTAATTGCACTCAAACTTTCATAGAAGTCAAAGTGATTATCGATAATTCTTTTTAATAAATTAATTTGCCAAAAAGCGAAGCCATTTGTATAAACGATGCAAAATAAAAACATTTTCATTTTTCTTCAAAATTAATTTTCTCGAAACTCATCGAAGAGATTGTGATAAAATTTTCAGAATCATTTCATAATAACATAATTGATATACTGACGAAGTTTCAATAAAATCCTAACCTAAAATTTCGATTTGTTCGAATGTACATCATTTTGCTTAAACAACTCGAAATTTTAGGTTAAGATTTGATTGCAACTTCGTCAGTATATCAATTATGTTATTAAAAAATGATTCTGAAAATTTTATTACAATCTCTTCGATGAGTTTCGAGAAAATCAACATTGAAGAAAAATGAAGGTGTTTTTATTTTGCATCGTTTATCCAAATGGCTTCACTTTTTGGCAAATTAATTTATCTACAAGAATTATCGATAATCACTTTTACTTCTGTGAAAATTTGAGTGCAATGTAATCGATATTTGCGACGTAGTTGGTGTTTAAAAATACGCGCGAAGCCCTATTTATTACGATCGAAACACCTTAAAGGTTGTAAATTTGATGTAAATATGATGTAAGTGTCCAAAATTCTGTAAATTTGATGTAAATGATTTCCATTAAATTTACAGAATTTTGGACACTTACATCATATTTACATCAAATTTACAACCTTTAAAGCGCGCGATTA